TTTGGGTTAAATGCTTTGCCTAAATTAATTCAGATATTGTTCTAGCAGCTAGATTAGAGACTCTGAAGAAATCATTTTATATTACTACCAAGTGAAAAAAAAACTTATAAAAGAGAGACTGTGCTTTCTGGAATACAGAGAAGCCCTACCAGCCCCCGTTGGGAGTTCCATGTTCCCCAGCAGTGGGTGGGGGGGCCACCCAGCAAGCAGGGGCTGTAGGCCCCCAAGAGCACAGCATGGATCTCTGGGATGTTTTGGAAGCTTGTGGTACATGAAATCTTTCTGGAATAAGCATTCGTCACCCCTGGGCTGTGTGTGCACGAGGCTCTGTGCTGGTTTCAAGGGAACATAGCTTCTGTTCTCAGGCAACGTGAGGTCTAGCGAACGAGAGATGGAGCCGGCTCCAGCCAAGCGTGTGTGCATAGGGGCCATGCAAGCTCGGAGGGTGGGGAGCTGTCACATCCTGAAATGTAGAGGGCAGTTCTCCAGGTAGAGTAGGATGGGAGGGCAAAGGAAGCTGTGCACAAAGGTTTGTGCCTCTCCAGGACAAGCCACGTGGGAGGAATGAACAGGTGCTGGGAGGGCTGGCAGCTGACAGGGTCAGTTCAAGGCTCCCTGGGCAGAGCTTGGCAGCTGTGTCAGGGTGTAGGTTTCACCTTGTAAGGCAGCAGCTGATGTAGGGCATTCAGCCTTCAAAGGCCGGTGTGGGGCAGTGATGTTGAGGGTGGAGGTAGAGAGAAAACCCTGAGTCCCTTGTGACCAGGAGCCTGATGACAGGTGACACAAAGGGCACTTTCAGGACCGAGTCCCAGATGCAGGGAACACAAGGAGCATGTGTTTTCCATGTCTTGTTGCTGGTGAGGAGGTGGAGTTCCTGGGCTTTGTGCGTTCTCTCACCAGGCTCCTCTGTGACCATGGCATCCAGAGACCAAGGCAGAGAGCCTCACCTTGAAATCTCCAGATAGAGAGCTAGGCAGGGTCCCTGCTGGAAGTACTTGCTTATCCAATCGGCCAAGCAATGTAAACTCATTTTTTTCACTTCTTTTATGATAAAAAATAATGGTGTCTGTTTTGATGGACTATAAATGTCCCTCCAGACATCACTGCTTCTTTTGTAGCATGGAGGAAGTCCACTTTTGCTTTTATTGAGTACTTATTAGTAATTCATTTAATGCAAATGTGAAATACAAGATTGGTAACAGAATCTTCCAGATGGATCAAGCATCCATTCAGTGAATGGTATGGGCACCGTTGAATAACATATCAAACCTGTCCCGTGTGGTTGAACAGGGGTACACAGCACCTGCACAGATACCTGTTCTGGCTAGAGGGGGTGCTGAGCATCAGAAACAGGTGGGCACTGGGCATCTATGGAGGGAAAGAGAGAGGGACCACCCTCTGGGGTGACTCTATTCACAGAGATTTCAGCTGCTACAGTTTCTAGCAGAAATGCAAGTTCAAAGACAGGGCTAAGGGGCCTACCCTGCATCACCACCCTGCCTCTTCCTTTCCATCTAATAAGGGCAAATCACTTTGTTCAAAGAAGCTTGAGAAATATTTGGAGTATGGCAGCAGAAACTGTGAGCATTTCATTGCCAGTAAGGTACTGGTTTGGACCTGCGTGCTCTGCAGTGAGTGATGTCATTGGCTTGATGTCATCAGCTGCACTTGGCCCGAGGTGCTCAGCTTACCGTGGCCAAGCTGCAGAGGGCTGGCAGCTTCGGCTTGAGGGCCTGCAGGAGCAAGAACACTGGCAAGGTAAGGCTGCTTCTTTCTGCAGTGCCTCTCCATACTGAGGCCATCACAAGCACTGGTGTGAATAGAATCACCTCTGCGTCCCATGGGATTGTGGGTTCACAGGGCTCCAGAGACCTCGGAGATCCAAGTTTAAATGCCCTCACTTCACTTGCAAAACTCTCATATTTATTAATCAGAACACCTAGAACTAAATCACATGGCTCCTGATCTTTTAGTCCACTTTTGGGTGAACTCTGCTAACTCCACATCTATGGGCATTGCTAAAGATGAGAAGAGGGTATAGACCATCGGATCTGGGTACATTTACTTGTTGGAAAACATTAAAACTTTAAGACATGTGTAAGTTTCTTTGGAAATTTCTGTAGAATCAATTATATACTTTCCAGCGTATTAAGCAGAGCGTCGTCTTTTCCTGTTAATGCAAGATAGGCTCAGTCAGTGTTGGTGGCTGAGCTGGATCTCTGAGAGGCCAAGGAACTTCTGTCAGTCACTCCAAGGCCTCTTGACTTTGGGCATGACCTTGGACATGGTCCTTAATAACGTTAAAGGTCGTATGAAAACCAACCCCATAGTAGTGGTGTAAGTAGCAATGAGCAGCACTTAGCACAAAGCCTGGCATTTAGCAAGCTTTTTACATTTACAGAATTGTAATTGTAGTTGATGACGATAATGATGATGATGCAGATGATGCAGGTGAAGTAATACAGTGGCTCCCTCAAGAATGACTTACGCATGAGGCTTTCCATGTTTGTCCTGACATTCCTGGATTTCTGGGCTGTATGTTCTACTTGATTATTAATTCGTTTTTTACAATCAGTTCTCAATGTTCATTTATATCTGCTCTTTTAAACTTTTTTTTATTGTAGTAAAATGTACATAATGCAAAGTTTACCATTTTAACCATTTTTAAGTATACAGTTCTATGGCATTAATTTTATTCAGATTGTTATGCAACCATCACCACCGTCCATCTCCAGAACTTTTTCATCTTCCCGCACCGTATATCTGCTTTTTTAAAAAAGTAGAGTCAACATACTCCAAAGGGAAGGGTGGGCTTGGGTGTCTCATTCTGTCCATGCTCCAAGGGGAGGTTGACAAAACCTTGGCTGAAGGATGACTAGGGCATGGCCTTGAAGCCAGTTTGGAATGAAGCAGGTGGGTAGATGAGTGGATAGAGGGATAAACAAATATATTTCTTAAATGGGGGTATTAAACTGCATCGCCAGTTAAGTTAAAAACAATCAATGTAAGTATAATTTTCTCATCCAAAAGGTGCACTCCAGATGTGAAACCCTTGTAAAATGAGAAACTCAAAGATGGGCTCTGTATTAGTCTGCTCGGGCTGCCATAACAAAATACCACAGACTGAGTGGCTGAAACAACAGACATTTATTTTCTCATAGTGCTGAGCCTGGGAGTCCGAGATCAAAATGTCCACAGGATTGGTTTCTTCTGAGGCCTCTCTCCTTGGCTTGTGGATGTCCATCTCCTCCCTTTTTCTTTGCATGATCGTCCCTCTGTGCTTGTCTGTGTCCAAATTTCCTCTTCTTGTGAGGACACCAGTCAGATTGTACTAGGGCTCACCCTAATGACCTCATTTTAACTTGACTATCTCTTTAAATACCCTGTGTCCAAATATGGTCACATTCTGAGGTATTGGGGATTAGGATTTCAACATATGAATTCTGGGGGTAGGGATGGGGGACACAGTTCAACTCATAACAGTCTCTAAAGATCTCTCCAGTTGTAAAAATCCTCAAAATCCTCCCCAATTCCAGACGAAGCAGATGAAGCCAGGCATCTGGTGCCATGGCCATACACATTCCCCAATGTATATGATCATTGGTAGAACATTATGAATGCAGCTCTGGAGTCTCAGAGACAGAATGTCCTACCATTTCTGAGCCATGCACAGTACATTTTTCTTAGAAAGAATAATAAACAGAGACAGAGTATTTTAAGTCTCCCCTCCTTGTCTGCCAAGAATAATCCTGGCATGTTCTGGAACTCACTCCCTTCATGGCCATCCTGGACGCTATATCTGCAGATGTCTGCCCTGGAAAAAGCAACCAACTGGCTTTAAGATAATCCACACGGGGCTCTGGAAACATAGCCTCACTCTGGAAATAGAACCAGAGGCCATTCCAGTCCAAGGAGAGGGGCTGATGGCTAATTAAAGTCCAAGAAGAGCTTTTTAAAATGACATTTTAATTTTAGCTATTGAATTGCGCTACTATCATCTAGTGAGTCTTCTCTTTAACCTACAGGACGCACTGAAAATGGTCAGAACTGCCTTTGGAGTGGTTACCTTTATGGCTGTATTCTGTGCCAGGGACTGCATTGTCATAGTGGAGTAATAATTATCTGGGCTGGGGTCAACCATGTTTCTGCCAGTTCTGTGATTTTTTACCAGTTGCACTTTTTTGTGTGATGATTTACTTGTGTGAGCAAAGACAGTTTGACTTTTCACCATGTTGTGACACTTGATAGAGAAAAGAGAATGACAAGCTTAATAAGAGAGAGCTGATTTTTAAAAAATCCATGAATTGTAGCCCGTTATTTATACTAAAGGCTTATTTTCTATATTTCCTTCCTTTCTGCCTCCTCCCTCTCCTCCCTCTCTCCACTCCTGATCTCTTCATATGCTCTATGGCACTTTTATATCTATCAGTCACAAAATTCTAAATGAAAGACCTTCTTTGGGGTGAGCTATCATTTTTTCATCAAGCAGAATAATAAAGAAATTACTGCCTTACACATTGGTTATTTAAACGTTTTTCTTCAAATATATGTGAAGGATTTTTAGCACACATTGAGGAAATGATAGTTTATTATAATTTCCTATTTTCCAGATGGAATTTGCTTCTCTGAATCTGTATAGAAAATTGGAAGGTGCTGGTCTTTCTGAAGAAACTCATTCATCCCTTCCCATCATTAGTGGCTTCCTTTGCTGTAATCTCATATTCTCTTACTTTGCATTAGAGCTACAATCCTTTCAGCTCACTCACTCACTATTCTACTAATTGCTCTTCATTCTATAATGATTAGTTATCATTCATTATAAAAAGGAAGAAGCATGGTCTAAGTGCCATGTGCATGGGGATTCTGTAAAGGTTACTAGACAGAGACCTTCTTCCGTAACATTTCCCTGCCGTGGATGCCAGACAGAAAATCAAGTGCCTTTTAGAACAGAGCAGTCTGAGTCCATATTTCTCTAATGTCTACATGCTGTATTATTCTAGGTCTCTGAATTCAATCCTTTGACCTTCACCAGCGTAATCGAGTGTGAGAAGCCAAACAACGACCTGACTAGGTTTCGTGGTTGCATGTGAGTATCCTACATCTGCCTGAAGTGGTCATCCTATTTGGCAAACTGTATATGTAAATATGTCTCTGTATACACACACACACACACACACAAACCAGTTCTAAAATAGTATTCGTATTCTTTGCCATGTTGTGCACCTTTGAGGAGTGTTGCCCTGCACCTGAGCCTTCTTGGTTGCTTATGGGACTAGTTGGTAAGATCCTACATGCAGTAGGAACTCATCAGAGCAGCCTGTGATGAAGAGTGACTGCTTTTCCTTCCTCTCTTGGTTCCTGGGAAGGTGAGGGAGTGACAAGGGAAGGGTAGCTGACTACTTGTGGCCCCATTAATGGTAGCTCAGGGACCAGACACCTGGAGCCTGGGTGGAGTTCATTCATTCGTTCCTTTATGATTTTACCCATTGAAAAGATATTTGTTGATCACCTACAAAATACTGGGCCCTCTTCAAGGCTCTGAGGATCATACCATGAACCGAATAGACAAAATCCCTGCCTCTATGTTCATTTCATCTAGTTACAGGAAAAGGGCGACAATAAACACAAGAATAAGTACAAGATATAATATGTCAAATAGTCCAGTCCCTTGCTCCAAAACAGAAAGATAGAAAAGGTGGATAAATGACACAGGATTGGCCATGTGTTGGTCCTTACTGAAGCTGGCTCTGGGTACACAGGAGGTAATTATACTAGTCTCTCTACTTTCATATACATTTGGAAATTTCAATAATAATAATAGTGTGTGTGTGTGTGTGTGTGTGTGTGTGTGTGTGTAGGCAGTTGGTGTGGGGAAAAATAACATGGGAGGGAAATAGGGAGAATGAAGGAGTCGCTGAGTTGCATACCAGGGCAGTCGGAGGTGACCTCACAAAGAACGAAAGGAGATGTGTAAGCAAGAACCTGAGGGCACAGGTTTGACTTACCCTGATTTCCTGCTCAATCTTTTGTGCATCAGTCAACTCTTGCAGGCCTAGATTTCTTGTCTGGAGAATTCGGGGCCTTCTGGCCGGCTCTCCCACTCAAGGTGGGAGCTGACGAGTCTGCTGCTTAGCGGTCCAGCTGCAGAGTGCCCCCCCCCCCACATAGACGCATTGCCCCACTTTCTGCTTCTGAAAGTGGGCTCCACTTCCCAGAGCTTTTGGTATAAGTTTGAATCTTCTGCTTTACAAACACCTCCAGCAACGTTGCCTGTGCCCAGCACACAGTAGGCTCTCCGTCATGTTGTGGGCTGAATCAACAAATAAAAAGTGTTAACAGTAAAGGGTGAAATTTGTCTGCTGATGAGTGATGGCCCAGTAACACTGAAATTGCCCTGATTCTTGCCTGAGGATCACAAACTTGGAAAATGTCAGATCATCCCTTAAGGGAACCAATTAAAGGAGGGCAAAACTCATAAGGAAACATTAAAATGTAGTATGTACAGTTTGGGGGAGAATACTCAACTACTCACACATAACTGGTCTGCTGTGGACTTTTAACCTCTCTGGCCCCTGGGCTATCTTCTCCAGGACCCCTTGACCTGGTGTCCCCAGGACCTCACTCACATGGTACCATTCTCAACACCACCACGAATCTCTCAACAGAGCAGGTACTGGGTTTCCAAAGACCCTGAAATACCTGTTGTGAAGGAGGCAGTGTCAACCTCTAGAGAGAATGTTCTGTGGACGTTCTTGCTCATGGGGTAATTTTTGGGGGCCAACACTACCACAGAAAAAGGGTAGACGTCCTTCTCCAAGACTGTACACCTCACCTCACTGTAGTCAGTCTCCTCTGCATCTCTGGGGTCCCCCTGGAGCCCTGGAAGGTGTGGCGCTCTTATGCTCCGACGACTGCTCACCCCTTTGCTGCCTGCGCTAGAGCTGGATTAACACTGAAGGCAATTCACCCCTAAGTCAGCAGCTCTCGGGCCCACCCTCAGGGAACTACCTTTGTGGTAGGAGATTAAACAGTGTGGCTCAGTGCTGAGGCTGGAGCACTCTGGAGCCCACACTGTCCAGCCAAATAACCTCAAGTAGACAACCTGACTTGATTTATCTCTGTAATGGGGAGAATTACAGGAGCTCCTTGTGTCATCAGTGCAAAGTTTAGTCAGTTGAGTCCACAGAAAGCTTTCAGAAGGGTGGGTGGGTTAATAAGTATCCGCCGCTATTATGGTTACTGCTACTCTTGTTAATATTACTATTAGAGATAATACTGTAGAGCAGGGAGAGAGAAGAGTCAGGAGGGAGGTAGCTGATTGAATGTGTCCAGGCAGGAAGATCCAATTGAAGAGGTGGCTGGGAGGATGGTTTGTCTTCAGTATATGTGTCAGAGAAGCTATAGGACGAAGAAAGATGGGGTTTTGAGGTTTCCTGAATTTGAGGAACTGGCAAATGCATCAGGTGGAGTGACCCAGCTGACAGGAAAAAAAAATATGGGTCAAGAAATCAGGGGAGTGGGAGCTGGAGGTAGAGATTTGAGACCCATCTGCGTAGAGGTCATGTTTGAAGTCAGGGATGAGGCCAGGCCAAGGTGGGGCAGAGGGTTAGGGAAGAGAGGGAAGGAACGAAGACATGGTAGCCCCAGCAGTCAGGAGCAGGAGGCCTTGTTGTCACAGGAATGCAGTTCCAAGGGCGATGCCCAGCAGTGGAGGCACAGCAGGGATGTTTAGGAAGGAGGTCTGTAGAATGCTAGACCTCACAGGGAGCCTAGGAAGAGAGGACCACACTGCCAGGGGAGCCTGAGACGGCAGACTCCACATTGCAGGAGATGGAAGAGGAATTATATTGCTTAACCACTCTTTACAGAAATGTGGCTTAAAAAGGAGGGACAGGGCCAGAAATGAAAGCCTCAAAAAAAGATCAGCCGGGCCAGCCCGGTGGCTCAGCGGTTAGGTTCGCATGTCCCACTTCGGCGGCCCGGGGTTCTCTAATTTGGATCCTAGGTGCAGACATGGCATCACTTGGCAAGCCATGCTGTGGCAGGCGTCCCACATATAAAGTAGAGGAAGACGGGCACGGATGTTAGCTCAGGGCCAGGCTTCCTCAGCAAAAAGAGGAGGATTGGTGGCAGATGTTAGCTCAGGGCTAATCTTCAAAAAAAGAACAGGGGCTTTTGTTAGGAAGAGAGAAGACACAAAAGGCCAAGCTGGTAGAGCTCTCTGGGGCATGTGATGGGGTGTGGCGACTTCCTTGTGTGGAGAGGGTGGTGACCAATGAGGGGCAGTGTCCCGTGAATCCTCACTCAGCCCCAGTGCCACACCACCCCCACACGCAGCCCTCGGCTCACTCAGCGCCCCCGCTGCCTCCTTCAGAAGGCGGCCCCTCAGATGGATGCTGTCACCAGCCAGGCCAACTGGGGCAAGGGTTCCCAGCACCAGTGTCCTCCTTGACATGTTGCCTGAGAGAGAAACGTGAAGAGGGCAACTGTCCCCTGTGTGAAATCTTTTCCCATTCTGTTCTCCAGTCTTGCCAGGCTTTTTCCTTAATTTTTCCAACAAATTGGCTGCCCTGAGTCTCGCCCCTTAGCCTGGGCCGAAGTCCTGGCCATCTGTGTGCCTAGACCCCCATGTCATTGTGACTTGCCACATCTACCAGGTGGGGAATTTGGATTTGCTACAGGAATGTCAGGGTGTTAAAAGTTCCTCCCTCCGTGGCTCTGGGGTGCAACCAGAGTGAGCAGCCCTCTGGCCCCAGAAAGTCAGGCTGAACTGCTGCAGGAAGAGTGCAGAGGAGAGGGGAGCAGCCTGCTCACACCCCTGAGTCCTGTCAGCAGCCAGAGGGGGGCCTCAGCCTCATACTGGTCCTGATGCTCAGGGGTGGAGCTAACCTGGGCAGTAGACCTGCAGTTTAGACCAGGGAGCTGAGCAGCAGCCGAGCCAGTTTCCTGGTTTGCTGGTTGGCTTGCTCTCATTATCTGCCTAGGGTGGCCTCCTTTCAGCCTTGACACAGCTGTGCGCTGTTGCCTCAGTCATGCCAGGGAGCCCAACCTGCAGGCTGAGCCCAGCCGACAGCCGTTTCAGTAGGTTTCAGTCTTATTTGGACCAGCCAGTCCGACCTTCGAACCTTAGTCTTTTGCACTTGGAGAACTAAGCTTGGGTTTGCAAGCAAGAATACCCAAGTCTGAATTCCAGCTCTCCTCCTCCCCTGGACAGGTGGCCTAAAGAGAGTCATCCTGCATTTCCGAGCCCTCACTCCCTCCTAATTCTGGAAGCAACAATGACTGACCTGAGAACAGAGTGAAGGAGTATGTGTGAAGGACGTCTTGAATTGGAACGCTTTGTGCAAGAGAGTGGTGTTAGCTGTAGTGTACAAGTCCATTGGTATGAAATGTCCACAATACAAATATCTTCAGTGACAGGAGTGGATTAGTGGTTGCCAGGAGGTGGAGGTGGGATGGGAATGAGGGGTGACTGTCAGTGGGTACCATGTTTCTTTCTGGTCATGAAAATGTTCTAAAATTAGCTGATAGTGAGAGCTGCATAACTTGGTGAATATACAAAAAAAAATTCACTCAACTGTACACTTTAAGTGGGTGAATTTTATGGTATATGAAACATATCTCAAGCAGTTAAAAAAAAAATGTCAAGGGCTGGCACCATGGCGTAGTGGTTAAGTTTGGTGTGCTCCACTTTGGTGGCCCAGGTTCTTGGGTTTAGATCCGGGATGCGGACCTACACCACTTGTCAGCCATGCTGTGGTTTTGACCCACATATAAAGTGGAGGAATATTGGCACAGATGTTAGCTCAGGGCTAATCTTCCTCAGCAAAAAAAAAAAAAAAGAAAAAGAAAAAAAAAGTGTCAGGAGCTTCATTATTTGGGTGCATTTTAATGCAATCTGTGTACCTAAGTGCCAATGAAATCCTCATAATTAGGAACTGGAAGGAACAGCACTCTCAACCCTTTGAGTTGCCCTCAGCCCCTGGCCTGCCACTGCCCAGAGAGGCCAGTGCACCTGGCAGCTCAGGGTGCCCTGCTTGGCTGTGGTCGGCCACTTTCATGGCACACCATGGGTGGCCTTTGAAG